GTCCACGTGGCCAGGAGCACAGGCACGATTCAAACCCGTGCTCCTCCTCCATCAAGCACCAGTTAAGGAGCAGTGGTTGTGCCTTGTGGTCCTGCTGCAGCACAAGCACTTCTCCTTTGAGATACCTGTGGTTGCCACAAACTCCTCTAACCAGATGTTAATGATCTGACAGCGTAATTGCAGAGTAAACGAGTGTACATGGAGCTGAAACAGCCCCGTGTTAATCCAGGGCTGAGAGAGTCCTGTAATTTGTGTATCCACATAACCCAACGATTATGTGCATTAGTGATAATTTAGTTATCAAAAAGCATAATTCCCCAGTGACTGCAGTGTAACAGTGGTGTGAGGGCAGCCCAGTGGTGACACCGTGTTCCTGATGCGCTGCAGGAACACAGATATTTGTAAGGGCTGTCGTGTGCCAGCCTGAGCACAGGACCTGGGTGGGCCCTGACCTGCTCTCTGGAGCATCTCCCATGGGGGTGAGTGCCATTGCTTGGCCTCAGATCCTCAGTGAATAATGGCAAGGCTGGACTGAGAACATGTTTTTTCTTTTCTTTTCTTTCCCTTTTTTTTTTTTTATCTGAATCCCCCCCAGCCCTGCCCTCTGTGGTGGTGGCTGCCAGGCTAGAGGAAGAGCCAGGCTGTGCCCACTTCACCTGTCTGTCCTCCCCTGTGCAAAGGGCTCTGCTGACACCAAAACCAGTGTGGATCCACTGGGAAGGATCCATCCCCTCAGTTATAGCCAGGTTGGATATGTTGGGCTCTCAGTTGCATTTCTCCAGCAGCCTAAAGGGTCCTGTGATTTATTGCTGCTCCAGGGGCCTCAGCCTGTCAGAGGGATGGAAAGGGCTGTCAGCTGAGGGAGGATCTGACCTGTGCCAGGGGCTCTCCAGCTGTTGGTCAAGCAGTGGAGATTATCTGTGCAGGGGTGTTTATGCTGGGGGAACAGCCAGTCCAGCCCAGCCCCAGCAGAGACCACGCTGGCTCTGCCCAGGGCGTTCTGCACCAGCCCAGCTCAGGGTGAGCATCTCCCCACTCTCATCCCCACAGCGCTCGGCTTCATTTCTCATGCCAAGCCTGAGCTTCAGAGTCGGGTTTTATTTCCATCAGGCAATAATGCTCATTGCTGTCGTTAGCAGCTCGCACTCAAGCTGTTTGCTTTCTGATGCATTATCAACTTGACCTTCAGTTTCAATTTTTAGCAAAGCCTCACGTTGAATTTCACATCGCAGAGCAAAGCGTTTCTGCTCGAGGCTCAAACCGACCTCCGACGATGAGGGGGGAAGAAACTCACCCTGCAGATGGGTTATTCTTGCAGCTGGGGCTGGCCCTGGGCTACCACAACACACTGACCCGTCTGGCTGTTATATCTTTATTTATGTAGCTTTATATCTCTATGCATATTGCACTTACTCTGGCGGTGATGCTGTTGGCCCCTGGTGATTGCTGGTGGCTGCACTGGTGGCTGGAGGGTCCTTACTCACTAGAGTGCTGTTTTTTTGGGTGCCAGAATTGCAGAGATGTTAAGACTGCAAAGGACGAGAATTCTTCAGCCATTTCTGAGTGTTTTAAGTGCTCCCCCAAAGCATCCTGCTCCCAAAAAACACCCTGCATAGGCAGTGGGTGTCAGCTGGATTTCCCTTGGGCACCAAGGTGCACAGCAGGGCCAGCATCGAGGTGTCCCTGGTGCCCCCACCTTCAGCCCTTCTGTCCAGCACCTCCCCATGCCCCTGACCCCTGGCATCATTTGGGTGGTTGGATAGACACATCTGCAGCCCTTTAGCTCTGGGTGGTTGATGTCTCTGCTGTCACTGAGCTCTCAGAGATGAGGAATTGGATTGATGTTTATGTAACAGAGCTGGTGAGCACAGCGTGTCGTGCTGTGTGTTGGAATGTGCTGTGCTGGGTTTGTGAAGAGGGGAATATTTCCAGCCCAATACAGGACTCCTTAGTCATGTGTCTGGATCAATTTTACTGTTGTTTCCCCCCTCTATTGTTTTATCCTTCACTGAGTTTTCTATATTTTTAGTTAAGAGCCTGATGTATGTTTATGATGCATTTGCTCATCCCCATGTGACATCCCTGGCTGTCTCTTTCTGGTTTTAGCTGGGTTCATTACTTTTGGTTGATGCACCAGGATGTTGCCCCCAAAAAGCCACTCCCAGGTCTTAAGGCAGGAGGTTTGACCACAGCATATCGGTCTCACCACGCGTGGGAGCTTTGCCTCCGTGAAGACACAGATCCGTGTTCCTAATGACTTCTCCTTTAATGAGTTGGTTCCTGGAGGCTTTGAAGTCACAAGAATAATGAATCCTGGGGCAGCGGAACAGCCCATTGCTCCCAATTAAGACTCTGGGCTTGGGAATCTCATGTGAAGGGCTGGGGTTAGGACGGGAGCCAGGGGTGGGCACGGGAGCCATGCGGGTGCTGCTCACAGAAGGCCACTGCTGCTGGGCTGTGCAGAGCCCAGTCCCTCCTCAGGGTGCCCAGGACTGCTCGGGGTGCCCATCCTGGCGGGGGGAACATGCACATTGCTGTTCCCAGCTCGGCTGGGCCAGGTCCCCCTTACCCAGGTCCCTGCTCACCCTGTGCTCGGCAGCCGCCGGCTCTGCGGGAGCCCTGGCAGAACCCCCTGAGTGCTGGGGCAGTCAGTGCCAGCAAAAGCTAATTAGCCACCTGCAATCAGGAGGGGAACCCGGAGCGGCTGCACTCCCACTGAGCCATAATGGTGGAGATTAAACCCTGCCCCGTGTTTGACAACAGGCACTACCCCAGCGGGTGAGGAGAGTCCCCGGGGCCCCGGCGAGGTCCCCCCGGGCTGGGGACGATGCTGCTGGCAGGGACATGGCCATATGCCTGAGGATGGTGCAGGCAGCCTTTGAAGGGGAAGTTTGGAGATGGCTCAGGTTGGGTTTGAGGCTGTTTCTTGCTGCAGGTGCCCTCTGTGCTGCGCTGCCATCCGTCAGGGACAGCAGGCATGGGATCTCAACTGAGCATCCTCCAACCCAGAACCTGCCTCCAAACTGCCTCCAGCAGCTGGTTGTGGGCTGTTACCCCCTTCCTGGAGGCTTTCCCCTCTATTCCTGCTCCTCTTGGCCTTTTCCCAAAACTGGGGGTGGAAAGGGGCCCCCATCCCTGACCTCCTGCCTTCTCCTGGAGTCACATCACACCTTCTCACGAGTCAGGGAGCAGTGCTGTGCCATCCTGCTGGAAGAGGGAGAGCGGTCGCCTCCTCCCCATCGCCTCCACCTCCTCACTTTGATTTCTTGCTTTAGAGGAGTGTTTTGACTAAATGGATTTTTGTGCGAAGACAGTGGGAGCATCGCTTGGCAAATCCCTTTCCACTGCGGTGCCAGGGGCTGTGAATAATGCAGGTGCTGAGAGACAGGGCTCCCCAAAACACACAGCTCTGCCTACCCCGGCCACTGCCTGCCGACCCCCCGGACCTCTTCCTTTTCATTATTAACTTTTCATTAATTAAGAAGATAAAAACATTAAATGGTGCTGTCAGCATCTGCTGCGGGAGCGAGGGGCTCCCAGGCCCTGCAGGCTCTTACCTGGAGGAGCTGCTTTCCTTGTTAGCTTGATTTAGTGGAGAAGCTGAGTAACGTGGTCATATCTGAATTGCCATCGATTTAGTCTCTTTTCTTGTTTATTTATGGGCTCATCTCCTCTGTCCCCACTCGTTGCTGTCTCAGGGAAGTCCTGAGGCTGGGTTTGCTCTGGCTGTGCTGGGAAGGGCCCGGTGGGCAGCTGCCACGTGCCTTGAGCCCCCTGTCCCTGCATGGCACACTCACGAGTGCACACGTGTGCAGTGGCACGTGTCACAGCGGGGTTTGTGTCGTGGTGTGGCCCTTCCTGCACTCCCTGTGCCCAGGG